GCGCCGAGCTATCGGGGCCGGCGCCAGGCAACAGCAGTGAGTGTGAGCGGGGCCGGCGCCAGCAGTAAGTGCGAATGCCGGGCAGGACTGCGGCGTGGGGAAGCAAAGAATTTTCAGTAACCAACAGAGGCTCGCCCTGATGATAGTGACCGGTGCCCTGACTTGGTTTGGTGACCCCGTTCACCTGCTCCACCATCCCACCACGGCCGTCACCTGCCATGTTCTGCACTGCCGCCTGCTGCTGACGCCCGCCATGTTCCGCGTGCACCCCCTGGTGGTCAGCGCACGTCACAGTGACTGCTTGTTCAGTTGTTCCGCCCTTCAGTCTATTTGCATATTAGGGTTTTATATATATATAGATTGATTTCAGAGAGAAAGGGAGAGGGAGAAAGAAGTAGAAACATCAATGATGAGAGAGAATGGCACACCCCAGATCAGCCTGCAACCCAGGCATATGCCCTGACTAGGAATCAAACTGTGACCTCCTGGTTCATAGGTCGATACTCAACCACTGAGCCATGCCTGCCTGGCTCTGTACACATTTTTAAACCTGGCAAAAGATGAAGGGAATATTGTAACTATAAAGTTTAACTGTTTAAAACAGGGTCTGAAATGTGAGGATGTGGGGGGGAATGGGAAGGCGACAGGCGTGGTCCGAATGGGTGAGGATTTGCCCAGTGGGGAGGCGGAGCTAAGGCCATGGGGTGGGGCTTCCTTCTGAAGTGTTCCCCGACTTCAAACAGGGAGGAGCTGCTTTGCTGCTCAATCTTGCGCTTGGGATAGGTGGGAGCCAAATTTGTGGGCGGGGCCTCGCCGCACCGGTTCCAGGGAAGGGGAGGAACCAGGCGCGGGTGGAGCTGGGAGATGCCCACCCCTGCTCACCTCGCCTGCAGGGGACCAGCTGCTGAGCGCCCGCGTGTTCTTTGAGAACTTCAAGTACGAGGACGCCCTCCGCCTGCTGCAATGTGCCGAGCCTTACAAGGTCTCCTTCTGCTTGAAGCGCACTGTGCCCACCGGGGACCTGGCGCTGCGGCCTGGGACCGTGTCCGGCTACGAGATCAAGGGCCCACGGGCCAAGGTGGCCAAGCTGGTACGCGTGCTTAGCCCGGCCCCAGCGCTGGACTGTCCCGGCGATCTCGTCTCTGCGCCATGAACCCTACTCCCTTACACCGCGGGCCAGCCTGGCCCCCTGTCTTGTCACTAACCCAACGCTAATCCCCCCCTTTGCCTCCTGTTCTGTGACCCTAAACTCCTCCCTGGGTGGGGGACCCACCCAGACCAGGGCCCTCACCCACTTTGGAGAGGTGTCCTCACGCTCGGCTCCAGGCTTGCGAGGGGTCCTGGACCAGGGGATTCCAAGTCAGGATTCCAGGTTTCAGCCTGACTGCTCCTCACTTACTGCTGAGTGACCCTGGACAAGTGTCTTTTCTTCCGTGGGCCTCAGATTCCCCATCTCTAGAATGAGGGTATTGAGGAAAATCCTGGTTGAGGACCTAGAAGTCTTGGGTCCCAGTTTCTACATTCCTGTTGACTCACTGTAAGATTCTAAATGAATATCTTCGCCTTCAAGGGCAGTATGGTGACATGACAGGCAGGAAGTGGGGCTGGTGTTCGGGGGACAAAATGTTGAATCCATCACATCCCCAGCCTGGTACAACACCAGGCGGGGCTCCCCCTGTCCACCTTAGGCCTCACTGTCCCACTGCCTCCCGCCTCTCTCCTCTCTCCCCAGAACATCCAGAGTCTGTCCCCTGTGAAGAAGAAGAAGATGGTGGTGTCTGGGGCCCTGGGGGCCCCTGCAGATCTGGCCCCCGTTGACGTCGAATTCTCCTTCCCCAAGTTCTCCCGTCTGCGTCGGGGCCTCAAAGCCGAGGCTGTCAAGGGTCCTGTCCCAGCTGCTCCCACCCGCCGGCGCCTCCAGCTGCCGCAGCTGCGTGTCCGGGAAGTGGCCGAAGAGGCCCAGGTAGCTCGGCTGGCTGCCGCTGCTCCTCCCCCCAGAAAAGCCAAAGCGGAGGCTGAGGTGGCAGCAGGGGCCCGTTTCACAGCACCCCAGCTGGAGCTGGTTGGGCCTGGGTTGCCAAGCACAGAGGTGGGCGTCCCCCAGGTCCCAGCCCCGAAGGGACTGGGGAAGGAGGCCCCCACAGTAGAAGCAGCCACTGGCTTTGCCCTACACCTGCCAACCTTGGGGCTTGGAGCCCCCGCTGCACCTGCTGTGGAGCCTGTGGCTGTAGGGATTCAGGTTCCCCAAGTGGAGCTGCCCACCTTGCCCTCGCTACCCAGTCTGCCCACACTGCCTTGTCTGGAGACGCGGGAAGGGGCTCCGGCAGCACTGACGGTGCCTACCCTGGACGTAGCAGTTCCTACTGTGGGGGTGGACTTGGCTTTGCCGGGTGCGGAGATGGAGTCCCAAGAAGAGGTGCCTGAGGTGGCCCTGAAGATGCCCGGCTTCAGTTTCCCCCGCTTTGGGGCCCGAGCAAAGGAAGTAGCTGAGGTCAAGGTGGCCAAGGGCAGCCCTGAGGTCAGGGTGAAGGGGCCCAGACTTCGAATGCCCACCTTCGGGCTTTCTCTCTTGGAGGCCCGGCCCACTGCCCCCGAAGCCGTTGTTGAGAGCAAGCTGAAGCTGCCCACCATCAAGATGCCCTCCTTTGGAATTGGGGTCTCAGCACCTGAGGTCAAGGGGCCTGCCGTGAAGCTCCCCAAGGCCCCTGAGGTCAAGCTCCCAAAAGTGCCAGAGGCAACCCTTCCCGAAGTGCAGCTCCCAGAGGTGGCCCTTCCGAAAGTGTCAGAGATGGAGCTCCCAAAGGTCCCCGAGAGCGCGGTGCCTGAGGTGCGACTCCCAGAGGTGCAGCTGCCAAAAGTGTCAGAGATCCGGCTGCCGGAAATGCAAGCGCCAAAGGTGCCAGATGTGCAGCTTCTGAAGGCACCTGAGATGAAGCTGCCAAAGGTGCCCGAGATGGCAGTGCCTGAGGCGCGACTCCCAGAGGTGCAGCTGCCAAAAGTGTCAGAGATCCGGCTGCCGGAAATGCAAGCGCCAAAGGTGCCAGATGTGCAGCTTCTGAAGGCACCTGAGATGAAGCTCCCAAAGGTGCCCGAGATGGCAGTGCCTGAGGCGCGACTCCCAGAGGTGGCCCTTCCGAAAGTGTCTGAGATGAAGCTCCCAAAGGTGCCCGAGATGGCAGTGCCTGAGATGCGACTCCCAGAGGTGCAGCTGCCAAAAGTGTCAGAGATCCGGCTGCCGGAAATGCAAGCGCCAAAGGTGCCAGATGTGCAGCTTCTGAAGGCACCTGAGATGAAGCTGCCCAAGGCTCCAGAAGTGCAGCTAAAAGCTGCCAGGGCAGAGAAGGCAGAGGGGGTGGAATTTGGCTTCAAGATGCCCAAGATGACCATGCCCAAATTCGGGAGGGCAGGGTCCCCGTCACGAAGCAAGTCAGGCGAGGCAGGGGCTGAGGTCTCAGGGAAGCTGGTGACACTTCCCTGTCTACAGCCAGAGGTGGCCAGCGAGGCTCGTGTGGGTGTCCCCTCTCTCACACTGCCCTCCGTGGAGCTAGACCTGCCAAGAGCGCTCAGCTTGGAGGGGCAGGTTCCAGTGGCTGAAGCCGGCAAGGTGGAGCGAGCAGAAGGCAAGGTGGCACAGGCAGAGGGCAAGGTGGAATGGGCAGAGGGCAAGGTGGCAGCAGGGTTTGGGGAAGGGGCCTTCCGGATGCCCTCTGTTGAGATCGTCACTCCACAGCTGCCCACAGTCGAAGTCGAGGGAGGGAGGGTAGAGGTGATGGAGATGAAAGTCAAACCCACCTCCAAGTTCTCCCTGTCCAAGTTCGGACTCTCGGGGCCAAAGGCGGCCAAGGCAGAGGCTGAGGGGGCTGGGCGAGCCACCAAGCTGAAGGCATCCAAGTTCGCCATCTCACTCCCCAAGGCTCGGGTGGGGACCGAGGTTGAAGCGAAAGGGTCCGGGGAGGCAGGCCTGCTACCCGCTCTCGATCTGTCCATTCCGCAGCTCAGCCTGGATGCCCATCTGCCCACAGGCAAGGTGGAGGTGGCAGGGGCCGATTTCAAGCTCAAGGGTCCCAGGTTCACCCTGCCCAAGTTTGGGGTCAGAGTCCGGGACACTGAGGCTGGAGAACTAGTGCCAGGGGTGCCCGAGTTGGAGGGCAAGGGCTGGGGTTGGGATGGGAGGGTGAAGATGCCCAAACTGAAGATGCCCTCCTTTGGGCTGGCTCGGGGGAAGGAGGTAGAAATCCAGGGTGGGCGTGTTAGCCCGGGAGAAAAGGCAGAATTGATGGTCGGGCAGCTTAAGATCCCTGAGGTGGAACTGGTCACTCTGGGGGCCCAGGAGGAAGTGGGGGCAGAGGGGGCGGTGGCCGTCAGTGGGGCACGGCTATCAGGCCTGCAGGTGTCCACAACCAGGCAGGCAGGCACTGAGGGCCAGGAGGGGGTGCGAAGGATGCCCCTGGGCATCTCTCTGCCTCAGGTGGAGCTGACCAGATTTGGTGAGGCTGGCCTGGGTGCCACCTCGGGGCAGCAGGCTGAGAGTGCAGCCCCTTCAGCAGAGGGCACAGCAGGCTACAGGGTCCAGGTGCCTCAGGTGACCTTGTCTCTGCCTGAAGCCAAGGGAGAGGGTGGTGAGCTGTTGGTGGGAGAAGGCGTCTTCAAGATGCCTACCGTGACCGTGCCCCAGCTTGAGCTGGATGTGGGGCTGAGCCGAGAAGTGCAGGTGGGTGAGGCAGCCACAGATGAGGGTGGGCTGAGGCTGAAGATGCCCACACTGGGGGCCAGAGCTGGGGCTGGGGTCGGGGGACCTGAAGACCAGCCCCCAGGGGCCGAACGATCCTTCCACCTTTCACTGCCCAACCTGGAGCTCTCGCCTCCTGCCATGGGCAGCCACGCTGAGTACCAGGTGGTAGAGGGTGAGGGAGACGCTGGACACAAGCTCAAGGTTCGGCTGCCCCGGTTTGGCCTGGTGCGGGCCAAGGAGGGGGTTGAGGAGGGCGAGAAGGCCAAGAGCCCGAAGCTCAGGCTGCCCCGTGTGGGCTTCAGCCAGAGCGAGGCTGTTGCTGGGGAAAGCTCCCTCAGCCCTGAGGAGGAGGAGGAGGAGGAGGAGGAGGGCAGCAGGGAAGGGGCTTCTGGTCGCCGTGGCCGCCTACGAGTTCGCTTGCCTCGAGTGGGCCTGGCTACTTCTTCCAAGGCCTCTCGGGGGCAGGAGGGCGAGGCAGCCTCCAAGTCCCCTGGTGGGGAGAAGTCCCCCAAGTTCCGGTTCCCCAGGGTGTCCCTAAGCCCCAAGGCCCGGAGTGGGAGCAGGGACCGCGAAGAGGGTGGATTCCGGGTCCGACTGCCCAGCGTGGGGTTTTCGGAGACCGGGGCCCCAGGCCCCGCCAGGATGGAGGGGACTCAGACTGCTGTCATCTGAAGCCCCAGGACAGAGGGAGGCTTCCCTCCTGTCTTCCCCTCCCCACCCCTTTGTGTGTGAGTTAACCAGCACTAACCCTCAGAGGGCCAGGAGCCGCGGAAACCTCCTGCCTGGCTCATTGGCAAGAGTGTCTGTATCTTGCCAAGCCATGTGAATAAATAATCCAGAGGTAGCCTTGAGAGAAAAGAATCCCAGAGAAGGAAGGAGGGGGGACATGATCCTGGCCAGAAGGAGCCTGTGTAGGCAGACATAGGCCACCTCTGGTCTGAGGAGAGTCAGGGAGACCTTGGGATGGGTGTAGAGGGAGGGGCCTGTCCTAGCCCTTCAGAAATCCCAGGGGCCCCTGAGCAGGACTCTGGGAAGTTCCCCCGCAGAGCACAGCAGCAGGACTCCTCCGCTGGGGACTCCGCTTGCCCTGGGGAACCCCCACACTGGCCAGGACAGCCCCAGGGGCCCTAAGAGAGCAGACTGATTGCTACCCACCTGCCCTCTGCTGGCCACTTCTCCACCAACACGCGCGCCTCTGCGCCCTGGCTGTGCCTCTTCTGTCTGGCTGGTTTGACAGCCTGGTCCACCCGGCCCCACCCGGGAGGCCTCTCCTGGCCTCTCCAAGCTCCTGGGCTCAGAGCCTCCACTCAAGACACTTGGTTGCCTCGTAGGACTAAGTCCTGGGGGCTCAATCTCGGCTCCCAGGGACCCAACCTCACTCTGGATTTATGCCCCTAAGCTCCTGCCAGGGCCTACAGACACCCACCTCCCCCCATCTCTCTGCCATGCCCCAGACTAGTAGGAAGACCTGTTTTCCCATTCCAAATCTCCCCCTGATGCCCCCATACCCACTCCTCCACCCTATTCCCATCCAGAGGATGAAGGGCCATGCCCTTGAGTTGTCACAGACCCCCCACTTACTCCAGTACCTTCTCCCTTCAAGCCTGCCCCCCTCAGGTCACTACCCTGTCTCATGCTTTCTCTTTGTCTCCACCAAACATGCAGGGCTTATCTGCCCTCATGGCACCCACACCCCTCGACCAGCTCAGCTCTGTAGCACGTGGGGTTTTCCTCCAACAATGGCTACCCTGTCCAGTGTCTGAAGTGACTTATCTGTGATCACACTAAGGGCTTCCTCTGTCTCCCTGTCCTGACTTCTCAGGCCCCTTCCTCCTTCCTGAACACCCTCCTCTCTTCTCCACTTCTCTCTCTCCTTGTGCCCTTTGGGCTCATCCACTCCCACACCCATCCTAGGCCCGTCACCCTCCGGAGGCTTCTGCTCCTCACCTCTGGGTGATAGTTCCCAAAATCTTTCCTGGGTGCATGAGGGGATCCACTGGCCTCCACATGCCTCCCCTGGACATCTCCTGAGCACTTGGAGGATGTGTGGGGTGGTGGTTCAGAGCTTGGCTCTAGAGCCAGACTTCTCAAGGTCAAAGCCTGTCTCTGGCACCCAACTTTATTTTCAATTAAATGGAGCTATTAAAATGTATGGTGTGCCCAGCCAGCGTGGCTCAGTGGTTGAGCACTGACCCATGAACCAGGAGGTCATGGTTCAATTTCTGGCCAGGGTACATGCCTGGGTTTTGGGCTCGATCCCCAGTGGGGGACGTGCAGGCGGCAGCCAATGGATGATTCTCATCATTGATGTTTCTGTCTCTCCCCCTCCCTTCCTCTCTGAAATCAATCAAAACAAACAACCAAAAAGTAAAACGTGTGTTGTAAGGTTAAGGCTTCTAAAGCACTCAATATTAAATTCCCTAACCTGATCTTAGCATCCTCTCCTCCAAAGTGCTTCTGTCCATGTCCCCATTTCTGGGACACCTCCCTCCTTCCCCCCCAAACTTTTCAGTCCCTTAGCCTGGCCTCCTGGCCTCCTGGCCTCCTGAATGTCTCATCCAGAAGCCTCTTGCCTGTCTCCCCAACCTCTCCCGCCTGGGCCGGCTCCAGGCTCAGGGCCTCCACTCTCGCCCCTTCTGATTCAGCTTTCTTCACACCAGTAGCTTCCTGACACTCAAAAGCCCTTCTCTGTCTCCCCAGTGCCCTCAGAATAATGTCCTAAAACTCCTTAGCTTGGCACTCAACCTGAATCCACCTTGGCCACACCTTCCCCATGTCAGCCACAGGCTGGGGCAGGTATTTTCTGAACACACACACACACACACACACACACACACACCCCTTTCGCCAGGAAAACCTGCCTTTTCGCACCTGTTTGGGAATGTTCCTTGCTTCTGCCTGAGGTTCACCATCAGACTCCCCTCTCAATGGACCTTTTACTTGTCCAACCTCTTCAAGATTCCGCCACTGGGTGGGGGAGGGGGTGTGACCTGCCACCCCACCCCCATTCCAGCGGGGGGCTCAGGTCTCCAACAACAGAACCGGAGCCACTTAGCAACGCTGGAACCCATTTGGGGGGGCCTGGGGCCCCTCGTCCCAAGCCAGGAGGGCTTTGGGGGAGGGGTGCAACTCTTGGCATATTCCCCGAGTGGCCCAGGGGGTCGTGAGGTGCCCGGGAGGTGAGGGCAGACCTCACAGGGGTAGTAGGCACGAGTGACGCTCTCTTTCCCCCACTGGGGGTGCCTCGGGGACAGCGACAGAGGAGGGCCAGGAGGCCTTCGAGACAGAGGGGGCGCAGAGGCGGTGGCAGGGTGGTGTCTGGCGGCCGGGGCGCCATGGCCACCATCCAGTCAGAGACGGACTGTTACGACATCATCGAGGTGCTGGGCAAGGGCACCTTCGGGGAGGTGGCCAAGGGCTGGCGGCGCAGCACGGGCGAGATGGTGGCCATCAAGATCCTCAAGAACGACGCCTACCGCAACCGCATCATCAAGAACGAGCTGAAGCTGCTGCGCTGCATGCGGGGCCTGGACCCCGAGGAGGCCCACGTCATCCGCTTCCTCGAGTTCTTCCACGACGCCCTCAAGTTCTACCTGGTGTTCGAGCTGCTGGAGCAGAACCTTTTTGAATTTCAGAAGGAGAACAACTTTGCGCCTCTTCCTGCCCGGCACATCCGCACGGTCACCCTGCAGGTGCTCCGAGCCCTGGCCCGGCTCAAGGAACTGGCTATCATCCACGCCGACCTCAAGCCCGAGAACATCATGCTGGTCGACCAGACCCGCTGCCCCTTCAGGGTCAAGGTGAGGGGCCGCCTGGGTGGCGGCATCTCCTGTCCTGTCTCCTCCCGGCCTTCCCCAGCCCCGGCCGCTCCGGTTGTGAGGGGCGACCGCCCGAGTCCAGGTGGGAGACATGGTGGGCAGGACTAGACTTGTGGGGGGCAGTGGGAGGAGGGGCACGGTGGGTCTGAATAGGTTTTGGAAATGGAGACAACAGGGTTTGCTGATGGATCTGATATGAAGTGTAAGAGAGGACTTGAGGGGGCACAAAAGCCTGTTGACCTGAGCAACTGGAGGATGACAGTGCCATACCTCGTCACAGTGAGTTTGCCTATCAACAGACACTCTCTGAATGTCTGCTCTGGGTCTGACCCTGGGCTCGCCCATCCCACCCCTGACCCTGTCAGAGCTCCTGGGCTCCCTGATCCCACCCCGACCCTGTCAGAGCTCCTGGGCTCCCCCACCCCACCCTGCCCTTGTGTCTGTTTCTGGGTTTGTTATTGTCCCCGGATGATAGGAGCTAGGAGCGCCCTGAGAGCAGGGCCAAGGCAATTTTGGCCACCACCCTGCCTTTGGCACCCCCCAGCACAGCGCTGCTGTGGAGTCAGGCTACATGAGTGTCAGACCTGTGTGGGTGTTATCAGTGCTTGATAATGAGGAGGACCCGGGCTGTTGGGAGGTGTCTTTCTAGTGGGTGACTTAGAGACGCATGGAGAGAGACACTGAGAGGGGGGAGACACAGACAAGCCATGAAGCGGCAAAGAAGGAACAAGAGATACAAATGAGACAGAAAGACAATGATAAATTTAAAAAAAATTCATTCATTCACTTATTCATTCATTCATTCTAAGCTCCTGCTCTGTGCCAGTCCCTGTTCAAGGCATCTGGGGACTCAGCAGTGAACAGACAAAATCCTGCCCTCATGGGACTCAAATCCTAGTTGGTTAGAAAAACAATGAACTCAATAAAAATATAAAACATATAGTTTGTGAAATGGTGTTAAGAGCTATGGAGAAAAGCAGAGGGCCAGGAAGGGGGCCGGGAGGGGAGGGTACTGGTGTTTGATAGGATGGTGCGGGGAGGCCGCCCTGAGAAGGTGACCTGAGGAAGCGAGGGTGAGCGATGCGGACATCCAAGGAAAGAGCATTCTGGGCAGAAGAAACAGCCCTGCCAAGGCCTTAGCTGGGAATATATCCGGCTTATTCGAGAACAGTGAGAGGCCCCTGCGGCTGGAGCAGGTTAGTGAGGGGGAACGTGGGAGGCGCTGAGGGCAGAGATGGGACGGCAGATTGTAGGAGCCTCCGGGCCTGGGGTGAGAACTTCGGCTTTTATCACAGGATGTAGTAAAGCCACAGAGGATGCTGAGCCGGAGGTATGTGGCCCGACTCAGGTGTTCACAGGATCTCTCAGCGCACATGTGAGGAACAGGCTGGGGGCAGAGGCGGGAGCAGGGAGAGCTGTCTAGGCAGGAAACGATGGAGGCAGGACCAGGCGGGGCTGTGGCTTCGATGCACAGTGAGCAGATTCTTGATCTGTTCAGAGGTGGAACCAACACGATTTGCTGATGGCCAAGGTGTGGGGTGAGAGAGCACGAGAGGGTCTAATGCTCACAGGCATCCATTCCAGTGGGGAGAAACAGAAACAGAGGTACCGACACACAAAGCAGCGACAAAGGCTGTAGGAGGCAGGGAGCGACATAAGCGGTAAGACTAACAGACAGCGACAGACAGATGGCAGAAGCAGACAGACACTGGGAGAGATGCCAGCTGAGGCCCAGATCTGTTGTCCCCACCCCATGCCTTGCCCACTGGGCTCCCTTTCCACACAGGTGATCGACTTTGGCTCAGCCAGCATCTTCAGCGAGGTGCGCTACGTGAAGGAGCCGTACATCCAGTCTCGCTTCTATAGGGCCCCCGAGATTCTGCTGGGGCTGCCCTTCTGTGAGAAAGTGGACGTGTGGTCACTGGGTTGCGTCATGGCCGAGCTGCACCTGGGCTGGCCGCTCTACCCTGGCAACAACGAGTATGACCAGGTGCGCTACATCTGTGAGACCCAGGGCCTGCCCAAGCCCCACCTGCTGCACGCCGCCCGCAAGGCCCACCACTTCTTCAAGCGCAACCTCCACCCTGATGCCACCAACCCCTGGCAGCTCAAGTCTTCGGCTGACTATCTGGCGGAGACCAAGGTAGGGGGGGCAGGTGCAATGAGGGCAAGCGGTGTGGGGGCTGCTGCATAAAGAAAAAAAATCTAGCCCAGCCAGCATGGCTCAGTGGTTGAGCATTGACCTATGAACCAGGAAGTGACGGTTCGATTCCCGGTTAGGGCTGTCAGAGCACATACCCAGGTTTTGAGCTCGGTCCCCAGTAGGGGCCATGCAGGAGGCAGCCAATCAATGATTCTCTCTCATCATTGATGTTCCAATCTCTCTCTCCTTCTCCCTTCCTCTCTAAAATCAATAAAAATATACTTTAAAAAAAGAGTTAACACATATAAAGCACTTTAGGCAGTGCCTGTATTTAGTAAGGGTCTGAATCTGAGCTCTGCGCTCTGTCTTCCAAGGTGTGTGACATTGGACAAGTGTCTCTGACCTCTCTGTGCCTCAGTTTCCTCATCTAGAAAATGAGACGAGAAGAGCATTTACCTCCTAGGTTAGCCTCAGGGAGGTCTGGAAGCTTGGCTCAGCTGTGAGGATTGTCACAAGAGAGATCTGGATGAGACCAACGGTGGGACTGGGAGTTTGAGGGTCACTCTGGGGGCTGCTGCAGCAAGAGGGGTCTGGGTTATACCACAGTGTGACAGAAGGGTAGGGTAGCCCCTCTGCCAGCTGCGGATCTGGGGTCAGGCAAACGCGTGCAGTGTGAGGGATCTAAATGAGGCCCAGGGGACTGGACGTTGAAGGCAGCCTGCCTGCCACCTCTGTGGCCACAGTCACACACCTGTGCGGAGTCTGGGAGAGACAGCAGAGGACTGGAGGTTTGGGTCAGCTGCAGGACCTGTCACAAGGGAGGTCTGGGTGAGACCAAAGATGAGACTGAAAGATGTGGCAGCTCCTCTAAGGGCTGCTTGCCTGGGGGTTGCCAAACTAGTGTGGCAAGGAGGTTCAACCACTGGGAGGCCCGGAGGCCTGGGATGGAGTGTGGGAGCTGTAGCATCAAAAGGGACCTGGGTTTGAATCCAAGGAGGACTAGAGGCTTCGGGCGGTTCCTCTGCTAGCTGCTCGCTGGGAGGGGCTGGGCCCACAGCTCCGGGGAGGACTGGAGGTCTGGGGTGAGGTGTGAAACTGAGTGAGTGGTAACTCTGGGTTAGATGACAGGAGGACCAAAACACACAGGCAGGTGCACTTCCAGCAGGAACAGGGCTCTAGATTCGACTAGACGCAGCGGTTCTCAACCTGTGGGTCGCGACCCCTTTGGCGGTCAAAGGACCCTTTCACAAGGGTCGCCTAAGGCCATCCTGCATATCAGACATTTACATTACGATTCATAACAGTAGCAATATGACAGTTATGAAGTAGCAACGAAAATAATTTTATGGTTGGGTCACAACATGGGGAACTGTATTTAAAGGGCCAGAGGGTTGAGAACCACTGGACTAGAGGGACCTCCCAGCAGCAAGAGGGCTTCAAGTCAGATCACAGGCAGAACTGGAATCAGGATTCAGATGTGTGGACTTCATAGCAACAGGGGAGCTCTGGGCCAGACTGCAGGGCTGGCTGGAAGTTACAGGAGTGACTGGGGCCCAAGGCCTTGGTGTGGTGTCAACCCCTGCCCACTGTGTCCCACCTGCCCACTGTGTCCCGCCTGCCCACTGTGTCCCACCTGCCCACTGTGTCCCACCAGGTACGCCCACTGGAGCGCCGCAAGTACATGCTCAAGTCACTGGACCAGATTGAGACGGTGAATGGCAGCGGGGCAGCTGGGCGGCTAACCTTCCAGGATCGGGAGGCGCTGGCCGAGCACGCTGACCTCAAGAGCATGGTGGAGCTGATTAAGCGCATGCTGACCTGGGAGTCGCACGAGCGCATCAGCCCCAGCGCCGCCCTGCGCCACCCCTTCGTGTCCATGCAGCAGCTGCGCAGTGCCCACGAGACCACCCGCTACTACCAGCTGTCGCTGCGCAGCTGCCTCCCCTCGCTGCAGGTGGAGGGCAAGCCCCCCACGCCCGTGGTGGCTGCTTCGGAGGAGGGGCCCCCCTACTACCGCCTGGCTGAGGAGGAGGAGCCCGTGGGTCTCGGCAGCGTGGCGGGCAGCGGGCCCTTCTTCCGCGAGGAGAGGGCGCCGGGCATGCAAAGGGCAAGATGCCATTTTATTTTTTGTTGACTTTCCTACAGGTTTAAACGCTTGTACAAATATAAACAGGTGAAGCATTCTGCATTAAGAATTGCATGAGAACTTTTTCTAGGTTAAAACAACAATCGCCCGAGGAGGAGGGGCCCGGCCGGGGCAGCGGCTGGGCAGAGGGGGAGCACCGCGGAGCCTCCGCAAAGCCGCCCACCATCCCGAAGCGGGACGGGGACGGGCCGGACGTCAAGGACATGACGATGGATGCTGAGGTGAGTCAGGTGGGCAGGAAGGGTGCAGGGGGTTCTGGGGTCAAGGGTGCCCACAGAGCTCGGGGGCGGGGGTGAACCCGGCCTTGGCTCCCCACACATGTGTTGCCAACAGCTGGCTCAGAGTCCAACACACACTAGCCCAACCTCGGAACATCACCAGGCTCCACACGCTAACCCACACTCAGGACACTAGGACGTGGCGAGGCTCTGCACATACTAGCGTGCCGTCAGGCTGTGTGAAAACTCAGGGCGCCGTAACCCCCCTGGAGGAAGTGACGAAGGCCCCGCACATGCCCACCCACCCTCGGAAGCTGTGACCGAGCCCCAGCAGACACTAACACACCCTCGGGACACACTGGGCTCAGCACACACTATCGAAGCCCCAGGATGTGACGAGGATTGCAATGGTATAGAATCGTCTTCAGGAAGTGACAAGGGGTCAGGTGGGCAGGAGGGCGTCCATGAGGGGCAGGATGGTGGCTCCTGGGCTGATGCCCTCTCTTCTACCCCACAGAGGCCGAGCCCTGAGCTCTTCGACCCCAGCACCTGTCCTGGAGAATGGCTTAGTGAGCCAGACTGGGCCCTGGAGGGCATCAGGGGCCCACGGGCTCAGGGGCTCCCACCCCGCCATACCCACCCACACGGTCCACCCCGGACCACCAGCTTTCTGCAGCATGTCGGCGGGCAGCATTGATGGTGACCCCACCTCTACCCATCACTGGTGGCTGAGCTAGCTGGGCTGGCATCCCTTCCTCAGAGCCATCCCCTGAACCCACACATTCTTACAGAAAGTTATCCAGAAATTCCCATTCCCCCACCCACAGTGCATGCTTGCACATACCCCCAAACACAGGAGGGCCTTGGTGTCTGGCCTGTGACCACCTCGATCAGAGGGGCACAGAGAGGTGGCTGCACCCTGTTGGCCCTGAGCACGTTCTTGGCCCTGTTGTCTCTGCCTATTTCAATAAAGAACTGTTCACAGCCCTGCCTCATGCCTGTTCTCCCTGCCTGTCCTCGTGCTGGGGAGCGGGGTGGTCAGGCTGGTGCCCAGGCCTGCTCTCTGATGCTGCACCCAGTTGGCCATTGGCTTAGGCTGGAGGCTGGGCTCCCAGGACACTGGAACAGGCTGTGCTTGGCACACTGACCCAATCCCTAAATATGTGCAGTGCCTGGCACACAAGCACACGAGAACCACCCTCAGAACACTGTGTCCGGCAGGTGCCCATCCAAGCTTGCCAGATGCCAAGGTCTCATTGTGTGTTTACCTGTCCTTGTCACTACAGGTTGGCCATGCACTTGGCTGGTGCAAATTCACACTTGGTGCATGTGCCAGTGTTCAGACATTCGAGTCCACCCTTGGGCTATGCCGATGGTTCATCTGCTGGGAGCACGCCGATTGTGTGGCACACACTAACCCATGCTGGCTACAGGACGCTCAGCATACACCTAGCATGCCGTCATACACTGCATGCTCAGCACATGCCAGCCCATGCCAGTTACACATGCCAGCTTGTGTGGTTACACGCTGAGAGCTCAGCACATGCTAAACTAGTGGGCCTTATGCTGTATGCCCAGCAATGGCAGGCCACCCCTGAAGACTCAGCACATGTCAGTCACATGCTATGTGCTAGGTACATTCCGGCACATATTAAGAGCTCAGTGTACATGCTCATGTCCCCACCAGAGGCCCATGCTGGCTGTCCCCGATCCCGACGATACCCTGCCTCACACCACTCAGTCAGGCGGATACTGTACAGACAAATTGTTTACTTCTTATTAGAACCTGGGCCCTCTTTGCCCTGGGAACGGGAGGAGGCCGGGGGACGGGCCCAGCATGCATCCCCACTTCTTCTGGGGCTGACCCCTCCCCCAGCTCAGCTGGGATCTGGGGCCACAGCGTCAGGCCACCAGGGGCGAAGGTAGAGGTGGGAGAGCAAGGGGGTCTGTGGAACCACAACGGGACAGACAGAGCAGGGCTACGGGGACAGGGACCACGACCCAGGGCATCTGGGTGTGTGGGGGCCTTGAAGGCCTCAGCCTGTCTGCTGGGACAGGTCTCAGAGCAGGCGACAGGCATTGCCCACACTGTCGGCTGAGGCGTCGAGGTCGTGGCTGTAAGGGGAGTCCCAGTCCCTCAGGAAAACAGCCTCCAGCTGGCTCCGCAGGCCGCCCTCCCCGTTCTGTGTCACCAGCAGCGAGGTGCCCGCCGTCTCTGTGAAGTAACTGCCAGACCAGTTGGAGGTTCCTACAGGGCAGGGGGCAGAGTCAGGGCCTGTGGCAGTGCCTGGACCCCCTCCCAGCCCCCGGCGGTGCTTGGACACTCACCGATGTAGGCGGCACGTTCAGTCACCATGTACTTATTGTGGTTCACTCGGGCATATGGGATCCGGGCCTGGGCCTTGTCCGCAGGGACCACAAAGAGTTTCTGGGAGAGAGGGGAGAATGGGAAGCAGTGGGAGGTGCGGTAGGTTAGAGACGCCCCCCGGGTGTGGGGTGGGGATGGGGACAGGTCTGTAATATTGGGGAATCCGTGAAAACCACAAGGCCAGAGCAGGGTCTGGAGGGGTGGCTTTCAGGCAACGCTGGCTGGGAGGCCCAATGACTTCACTTGCCACCGTTCCCTCTATAGTGACTCCCAGAGGGGCTCCTCTAGAATGGCCCCGTAGGCCGCACCTCAGATGTCCCATTTTCCAGACAGCCTTCCGTGACCCCTCAGGCTGGGGCAGGTGTGTCCTCTGGGCACTCCCATCCCACCCTCACCCTCCACCCTGCCCCCCAAACCTGGGCCTCACGCATGGTCTCCCCGTCACCGCACGGTTGACTCTGGGCTGTCTGTTAGGTGAGCTCCACAAGTACCATGTGCCCAGGACTGCCCAGCACAGGGGCTGAGGAGGGGTCTGTGGCGGCGCTTACCACCTGGATGTCGGAGTGGGTGTGGTTGTCACGCAGGGCGGCCAGGGAGAGCAGGAAGGCTCGCATGGACGGCTCAGAGTGACCCCAGCAGCTGACCAGCAGGCGCACCTTGATGCCCCGCTCGTAGGCAGCCCGCCGCAGCCCATCATCGATAGCAGGCCAGAACCTTGGGGCGGGGGTGCAGGGTACAGAGTGGCTTTATTCACAAGCCTCACTCTTAGCTTTATGGAGCTCGGCCTGGGCCCTGCCTCAGCTCTGAGAGCCCCCAAACCCTAAGACCACTCATCGCTGACTCCCGGTCCTGCTCCTGCCTCCTTAAATACCACATCCTTTACTCCCTGATTCTGGCTCCCCTTCCTGCCCCCCAACCCGACCTTTCCATCATCTTGTCTGCTGCTCCTACTGCTTGCTCTGAGCCCCCCAACCTGCTGCCCCAACCCTGAAAACTCTTAGCCTCCATTCCCAGGCCCTCATCTGTCTCCAGCCCACGCTCCCTGCTTCCCACTCCAGAAATCCTGCACCCCCTGCCTCTGGCCTCCAGTCCCCATCTCACCCCCCTAACCCCAATATTCTCACCCTTTTCTCTGACCCCCTGCCCTTGTCTGGAGCACCCAGGCCCCTCTCCCTGTTACCTCTGTCTTCTCTGCCTCTCCCCATCGCTTCACCTCCATCTGCCCCCCTGCCTCGGCTCCACTGCCTGCTTTCTGGCCCCTTCACGCCCTCTCCCACTCCAGTGGCTCCCTGTCCACCCAGCAGTACCTGCGCGGGTGGGAGAACTCCATGGTGGGCAGGTAGTTCATGACTGCGATATAGATGAAACTCCGCGCGTTGTCCACCACGTTGAGCAGAGCCTTCAAGTCCGGGGTGCGGCCACTCGGACACAGGGGTGGGGGCGCACTCTGGGGGCGAGGGGACAGGTAAGACGTGTGCCATGCCCGGGTGCCATCACCATGGACCCGTGTACAGGCAGCTTGTCACTAGCCGGGTCCTGCGGTCTTGCTGAATCTGCAGCCTCCATGAAGGGGAAGGATGCTTATGACGTCCATTTCACAGGTGAGGAGACTGAGCCGCAGAGAGGGTAAGTGACTTGCCTGAGTCACGCAGCTGATAAACAGAGCCAGGATTTGAACCAGGCTGTGTGGTTCCAGAATTTATGCTCTAACCCAGTGGTTTAAGACAAAAGGTCCCCGATCCAGCACTAACAGCATCAACTGGGAACTTGTTAGATGCAAGTTTGTGGACCTCACTACCCATGGCCGCCTGAATGAGGGTGCTGAGGTGGAGCCCAGGAATCCGGTGATATAGCATTCCCGGTGGGGCGCGCTCTCTCTCTCTTTTTCAATTGAGTTCAGAGAGGAAGGGAGAGGGAGAGAGAGATAGAAACATCAATGATGAGCTGCCTCCTGCACGCCCCCTTCTGGGGATTGAGCCCACAACCCAGGCATGTGCCTTGACCGGAATTGAACCTGGGACCTTTCAGTCCACAGGCCGATGCTCTACCCACTGAGCCAAAACGCTAGGGCACTCCCGCTGGTTCTGTTGCACGCTCAGGTGTGAGGACCTCTGCTCTAATCGCTTTCATCCCTGACTCACTCCCAGGCCCCCCTGAGGGCACCCCTCGTGTGCCCGTGCCACACCAGGCCCTTTACCCAGCTCTCTCCAGCCTCAGGACAGGTGAGCAAGCTCAGGTTCTGAGAGGGGGAATCCTCAATTCCCTGTGGGAGACCACGGGAGTACAGGACCCCAGCATCCATACACCGTGTATGGCCCCCCACAATGACTGGGCTTGGCCAGGTGGCTTGTTTGGGGGGACTGAAGGGGACGAGGTTGGCCACCCCAACTAGTGAAAATATCAATAGCTAAAAAGAGCAGTGCCTTGTCCTATCAGGTTCTGAGAGGGGGATCCCTCAATTCCCTGTGGGAGACCACGGGAGTACAGGACCCCAGCATCCATACACCGTGTATGGCCCCCCACAATGACTGGGCTTGGCCAGGTGGCTTGTTTGGGGGGACTGAAGGGGACGAGGTTGGCCACCCCAACTAGTGAAAATATCAATAGCTAAAAAGAGCAGTGCCTTGTCCTAGACCAGTGATGGCGAACCTATGACACG